GAGTTTCACTCTCCGCCAAGCGATCTGTGCTGTTTTTCAGTTCATCTGAATGGATGTGCAACGCACAACGTACCGTAAACTCTAGTGTGAAGGCGCACGACTCGCCGTCGCTTTGTTTCACACACACGCAGCGAGAGAGGGAGAGAGAGAATTGACGCGCTACATATGCGCGCTACATGTAAACGATATTCTTTGTTGTATTTTGCTGCCAAAATAACGGACTTCCTTTGGAATTCTTCCGCTTTTAAGGACTACCGCTTTCTCTGGTATTGGGCGGAACTAATGCGCAAACGGCAATCTCATTGGCTGGCGCTCACCTATTATCGTCCCTGTTTAAAGTGTGCTTTCATCCAGAGCGTCTCTCACATGTTCCGCCATGTGCTTCTCGTCCACGCTTATTTACATCAGAGTGCACACGGGTCTTTCAGAAAAAATTAAGAACAAAATTGGCAACACTTTACAATAAAGTTCAGTTTGTTAATAGTAGTTAATTATTAGATTAGAATCATTATTAGAATCATGAACAACAATGTTTTACTGCTAATCATATATTTTTAAAATGTCAAGATGCATACATTGAAATAACTTACCTGATATATTATGAAAGAACATGAATTAATTTGAAATATGAAATAAACAGGGTTTTATACATTTTAGTTTATATGGCTATATAAGTCATGCCTACAACTCGTGCCTATGACTGAATCACAGCCATGCCGATATACAGCCATATCACGTCTACTTGTGTGATATTGCTCATTTAACTTGAAACCATCGCTTCAGGTCAAAATATGAGTCCATAATCCATAACAACGCTTCCTCCAGTGAAAAAGTCCACAGACAACTGTTTTGGTCTGTTTTTGCTTGTAAATGGTGCTTGATCTGTGCATATTTCTCTCCTGATTCATCCGAGGCGACTTTTTCACTGGTATTATAAGTAATATACAGGAATCATAATTTTGCCAGAAGCAGCGATTTGAGGTAAATTTATTAAAAACAGTTTTTCGCTTCATAAAACATTTAATTGATGAACTAGTCATATGGATTATTTGTGATTTATTGTGTTTTTATCTTCTGCTTGGACTGACGGCTCCCATTCACTGCAGAGGATCCATTGTTGAGTATGTAATGTACTGCTAAATTTCTCCAGATGTGTTCCGATGAAGATGGCAGCTAATTTTTTATTTTTGGGTGAAGTTAATATTAAACATTGTTAAAAAATAACCTAGCACCATAGCTGACAGTCTGTGCAGCGTGTTCATATTACTTGCACGGATGTCTTTATAGTTTGAACACTCCCTCGGAACTACAAAGCAGTGCCTTAGTAAAAATCTGGAGCTGCCACTGCCAGCATCAAAGGAAAAAGTTCATTGCTCAGTGCAAAACACAACCCATATAAAATCATTATCCAGTGCTGAAAACATCTGTCTGACAGTACAGAACACAAGCTTGGGCTTTAACAACATTAGCCAAGTTGTCACATTCACATGAGCAGTATGGGGTCTCCATCTTAGAATAAGACACTGGATGATGATCTTTTAGGTGCACTAGCTCAGAGTACAAGAAGGGCAGGATGGCTTATCTAATAACCCCTGCAGAGCTCCAGCAGCAATACTTTGAGTTATTACCAAGGATCCAGGACCCCTGGGTTACAGGGTTAGCATGACCATCTCGGAAGATTGCATGTCTGTTTCACAAAGGAGAAACACACAAAGAAATCACACAAAGAAAATACATTATAAGGCCACTCAAAGAAAAATGGGAGAATTTGTAATTGTCAGTTTGTAATTGTCAAAATTAAATATGTTATTAAAAGATCTTCTTGACAAACAGGTTTCATCCATTCTAGTAGATAGGAGCTACAATGCCTGTTTTCTACATAGAAAATAGTTACCAAGATGGCCTCCTTAAAGGGACGTATATAGACAAGAAATCAGTTTTGGTTGGTGAGATTATCTGATATTTTAAATACTTACAGACCAAGACAGTCCTGGTGGTGTGCAGTGTGCAAGGGTTTTATGTGTTTTAGTTGTTGTTGTTTTAAGGGTCTTTTCATGTCCTGTTGTATGTATGTATGTATTTATTTATTTATTTATCTATCTGTAAGGGTCTTTTCTATGAAATCATTTACCTTTCTACGATATCAGTTCTTGTTTTTTGTTATTTTGTTTTTTTAATTTATTTATTTTAGACATATAAGTGGTGCCTTTTTTATAATATAATTTCCTGTTTTATGTTTGTTTTATTTATTTATTTATTTTTTGAACACAAGATTTTCATTCTTTAATGAGACATTTTCTTCATTATGATATCAGGACAGTTATATTACCTTGGCCTCTAATTTTATCCCCATGAAAGAACATCCAGATGAATATTAATATATATATTTTTTCAATTAGGGAATTAAAAAAAACATCCTAGATGAGCTGTATTCAAGTCATTGAGCATCACATGATTGACCCAGATTTCAAAAGGCATATTTCTTGAGGGTGCTGCACCACCTGAGCAACTGCCAATGGGGAAAGGATAGTTTTCTCCAGGTGTTATAGACTACTTTTGGTTGGTGTTTAGCTAGCTGTGCACAGTGATGGGGTAAATCCATTTGTGAACACTTAAAATGTGTCACAAAGTGATGCATACAATATCAGTTTTCATCATGGGTACCATTGTGTCATTGTGTGACTTTATTACACATATTACACATGTGGTTGTGCTGTCTTTTGCCATTTTTACTTGTCTCACAAAGCCATTTCTACCTCTGAAAATGAGAGAAACGGAGAATGAAAGAGTAATTGAGAGTCTTTGTTGTGAAACCTTTCATACGGGGACTTTTTTCAACCCAAGGATTGTCAGGGTTGTGACTGACAAACTACTGGAGCCACAAAGCAGTGCATTGAGCAAAAATAATTGCAGACAGTGAAGTCTTTTAGAAAAAGTGTCATGGCATGATTTGTTGCAGGCTCCTGCTGTCTGACTGTGTCTGTATCTTGACTGACAGGCTAGAGATTGAGGGAAGACTTTTTACTTTCATGGCCTTGTGCTCCCATGTCAAAATGAAGGAAAGCACGTTGCGGTTTTGTGTTGACAATGAGTCTGATGTGAGTGAATGATTTTCGTTTCTTTCATTCTTCTCTCCTTTAGTTGTAATTGCAGCCTAGTCGGGGCGTTGTTCCAAATCAATGCTTTCTACAGTTGTAAGCATTGCTCAAAACATTAACAATGAAGTTAAATGTTTGAATATTTGTTTACGATTCACTTCACGCATAATTTAGTATTAGTCACAATGCTCCATTTCCTCTCTTGTGATCGAGTGAGAAATTGTTGCATCTTCTGCATTCTAATTGATTCAGGACTGACTTCGATGTGCTTTCTCTGGCCCTGTGTTTCTCACTACATGGACTCATTTGTTTGTCTTATTATAGAACTCATTATATTTATACATCTACTCACGCGGAATGTACATGTGTGAAATCACATGTAAGTTTTCTTATATTTTGGATTTGATGTTTTGTTATAAATTAATAAATATAAGTGAATAAAAACATTTGTGAGTTGAAAAAAATATATTTATTTAGTTAGTTTGTTAAAGTACATACGAAGCCTATTTCTAATTGAGGACATCCCCGGATGTCTGTAAAGGTATAATTGTTTCAGATTTAGCTAAAAATGCAAAGAAACTTTACAACATTTTCTATTCTTCTGAACATCCTCTTCTGAAATTTTAGATTTTAATTAAGACATTACTTAGTATGTTTATTAAATCATGACTTTGTGTGGGCCATTGGATTGTCTCCACACTGTAGATGTTTTCAGGTTTTACTATACTTGTGGGGTCATTTGATGCTTCTCTTTATGAAAACATTCATGTAAATTGTGTATTTCTGCACCTCTAGTGGCGCCAAATGGAACTGCAATTTTGAGCATCCCAAATAAGCTTAAGGTCATCTCAACCAATGGCCTGGATTGGGGGCGGGATTACCTGTGTGACAGACTAATGTCAGTGTATTTAAAAACAGTAATTTATGTAGTATTTGTGCCAGCTTTAATAAGAAATTCAAAGCCATATTTGCATCACACCGGAACGTAAATGATCAATGACTGATGCATTTGATCTCAACCAAGATAACAGTCCGCGGCATGTCTTGAAATGTAACTGTGGCCTTGGTTTACAGGTACTTCAGGTCAGGAGCTCCACCTGTAATCAACCCCCTCCAGACACGTTTTCCAAAGGACACTATTGTACCAGGCTCCTTCGCTGTCACTTTGACATGGACGCTGCCCAACCGCACCACAGGGGTTTTCAATGTCACCAGCCCCCTCCCAGGAGACTGGTTCCTGGCTGCACACTTACCAAAGGATAAGGGGAAGATCTCAGTCAAGGTGGGTAAAAACCTAGAGGATAAAGCAGTCAGTGATCAGAGGCCCAAACATTAGAAAACCATTTCTGCTTTTAACAAGAGCTAAGCTTGTTGATGATGAAAAATGCCTTATGTTCATGGTTGTGCACGTACATTCCTCTCGGCATTTATGCATTTATAATTGAAGCCGCTCACTTCCGCACAGTCAGCGGGTGGCTTTCATGGGTAGTAATTTAAAAGTCTGTGATTTCAGAGCTCGTCATAGACTTCTTTTTCAAAAGAGATTATATATGCATTTCCTGTCAGAGTGCTCATTATTTCGCTTGGGTTGTAATCTCAAAGACAAAGGCATTTTTCTTTTGTATAATGCCTTGAATATTCATTTATATATATTATATCATATTAGAAATGCATTACTTTTTTAAAAAGGTTAATTTTTCTTATTGTTCACAAAACCACACACACACCGAATGTGACGTATGTCTCTGCGGTATGAAAGCATGTTTCCAAGTAAAGAATAAAAAACATAATTGTGAGATATTGTGTAGAATTAGAATGTCATGCTGTGAGATATAAAGTCACATTGTGAGATGTTAAGTTACATTATGACTTATAAAGATATAAGTGGGAGAAATAAAGTATTGATTATGAGAAATACAAGTAAAGAAAGTTTTTTAAAAGGAAATAAAATCTTTTTATTCTGGCTTCACTACTGCCTGACACCAAAACCATTTTCATAATGTTCAAAAGTTCAGAGAGCTACTGTTTTGTTCTACTCAAAAATGTTCAGTCTTGTAGGCTATAGACATCCAGTGTTTTTTTTTTTTTAATTCCTGCAACAAAATGTATTTTAAATAAAAAAGTCAGTTCATGTTGAAACACAAGGGGTCAATTATGCATCATAAGATATGCGTAAATAATAGCATGTCAGCAGTGGTTAAATTACGGCCTAATAATGCTCCCTGCCAGTAAACCCAAATGTACAGCAGGTTGTAGTATTCTTATTAAGGGTATTACTGCCCAGAGGGAATATTTAAATAGGTGAAAATCAGCCAGTGGAAAGTGTTTAAAGAGCTCATGCTGCTGGGAGTCCACCAGGAAGCACATGGCAATGTACTGGCCCACAGTATATATATATATATATAGTAGTGTATGTCATACGTCATACAGGGCAAGTCTCTTTCATTCATGTTCTGTTGATAGTATGCATTTTTCTTATATAGTGGATACTGTTGTATTTGTCGTTTAGAAGTATTGCACGGTAGAGCCTTAAAAATTGCAGTATAATGAAAGTGTTATGCTTCCCTAAAATACTTTTTCAATTGTTTTTCACAGAAATAAGCAGAACCATCAAACCAGAACCAAGACTATCACAATCAAAAGTTGAATTTTTTTTTTTACATGTTTGTATTATTATAAATTTAAATACTGTAGATGTTGTCCAAATAATTTCCCCCCTAGTGTATGTTATACAGGCCACACAATCACCTGGTAGAAATTGGATATGCCAAGATTCATCTTATGTCTGCCTTACAGAGTTATGACTGGATACATTCCACTGGTTTGTATTTACAAGTACGTAGATACAGAGAACTTGTTTTCTCTGTTTCACTGAGACTCACATCTGCTTTAATTGTGCTGTCATGCATAATTTAGTCAATATCTGACAGCTCTATAAAACGGAAGAAAAGTGCTATTACAATCTGGAAAATAGGCCTAAAATATGATTATGTGCTTGCTTTAATTGTATTAGAAAACAACAATAGCCAAAGTGTGTTTTTGGCCTCTAGAACGTATATCTTCAAACTGTGCAAGTGAAACTTATAAATGAGGTTTGGTTTTTAAACGAATAGTTCACCCATAAATGAAAATTGCCATAATTGAATCATCTTCATGCCGTTCCAAACACTTATGACTTTCTTTTTCTGTGGAACACAAGTTGAATATTCATGAGAAATGTCCAGTTTATGAACAATCAAGTTGGATGTTTTGCAAGGAATCAGATTCAGTTTACAGAACTGTGAATGATTCGTTTTAATTGTGCTGTCATGCATAATTTAGTCAATATCTGACAGCTATTGACTAAAACGGAAGAAAAGTGCTATTACAATCTGGAAAATAGGCCTAAAATATGATTATGTGCTTGCTTTAATTGTATTAGAAAACAACAATAGCCAAAGTGTGTTTTTGGCCTCTAGAACGTATATCTTCAAACTGTGCAAGTGAAACTTATAAATGAGGTTTGGTTTTTAAACGAATAGTTCACCCATAAATGAAAATTGCCATAATTGAATCATCTTCATGCCGTTCCAAACACTTATGACTTTCTTTTTCTGTGGAACACAAGTTGAATATTCATGAGAAATGTCCAGTTTATGAACAATCAAGTTGGATGTTTTGCAAGGAATCAGATTCAGTTTACAGAACTGTGAATGATTCGTTCATGAATCAGGCTGATCTGGTTGTCATCTATTCAGTGATTCTGTTAACAGCTTACTTAAAGTTCACCCAAAAATGAAAATTACCCCATGATTTACTCACCCTCAAGCCATCTTAGGTGTATATGACTTTCTTCTTTTAGATGAATACAAGTTATGGAGTTATATTAAAAAAATGTACTGGCTCTTCCAAGCTTTATAATGGCAGTGAATGGGGGTCGAGATTTTGAAGTCCAAAATAGTGCATCCATCCATCGTAAAAATACTCCACACGGCTCTGGGGGGTTAATAAAGGCCTTCTGAAGCAAAGCAATTATGCTACGCCGTGAGCGTGTGTACGGCAGTTAGCGGAAGCTAGAGATTACGGTTTATAAAGTTTTAAATATGGATATTTTTCTTACACAAGCTCATCGCTTCGCTTCAGAAGGCCTTTATTAAACCCACAGAGCCGTGTGGAGTACTTTTATGATGGATGCATGCACTTTTTTTGGGCTTCAAAATCTCGACCCTCATTCACTGCCTTTATAATGCTTGGAAGAGCATATTATATAATATAACTCCGATTGTATTCATATACGTCATAAGTCATATACTCCTAGGATGGCTTGAGGGTGAGTAAATCATGGGGTGAGTAAATTTTGGGTGAACTATCCCTTTAAATTAAGTCTGTTCCTCACACCTAGCCATCATGTGACATCAGAAGAATTATATTTGATATTTTTATAATATTTGTATGGTGCTTTTGTGCCCTTTTGAAGCTTGGAAGTTTTTTAGTTTAATTGCTTGGAAAAGAGTGACTAGCACATGAATTGAAACTTCTGTTTTTATGTTCCATGGAAGAAAGAAATTCATATTGGTTTAGAACAACACAAGGGCATTCTAATTCTTTTTAAGTGACCCCCATGCTTAAATAAGATTTTAAACAACATCTATGCAGTGGATCGCATCTAAATTGATCTCACATTAGAGGAAACTTCTCGCATTTTAAATGGAATTCTCATGTTCACAATAGCATTACCTCAATCTCCATCCACAATCTTAAAAAGTCCACCTCAGCTGAGTTTTGTCCTTCACTGCTCTCACTTATCTCAGAGCCACCAGGCACGCACTTCAGCCTTTCTCTTTAATTAACCGCAGCAGGTTTGGTTGTTGTGGAGGCCATTCTCCTGGATTAAGAGCAATAATTCTACTCGGTGTACTACGCTTTAAGGGCACTGTTTTCCTCTGAGCCCACAGGGCCACACTGCCAGCCAATTAGACAGAGACAAAGCTTGGAAAGACGAAGGCTTCCTCCTTTCTGTTGGCCTGGCGAATGAATGCACCCGTGGAGCAGAAAAGCTCATGGCCGAACCTACTGAGGTGGAGTAATTGGAGGAAGTGTGGAAAGCGAGACCATGCTTTCCCTGAGGAATACATGTTTTATTTATTATTCAGTGTAGTGTAATGAGGGTTATGTTGTATAGGACTTCTGTTTGGTTGAAGGGGCTTGTAGGCATTTGATTGTGCCACAAACTATGCCTGCCACAGTGAACTATCAGACATTTACCCTGTGGCCATCTTGGTAATGTACCCGGGCACCAATTTTCTATGTGTACTGTATGCAGTCATCTAATACTATCATCTAATAATAATAAATATAGAGATTGATTTAATGTTGTTGTGAACATTTGGAACTGATAAATAATATTAATAATAATATTATTATGATATAAATACCAAGATGAGATTTTAAGAATTTAACAGTTTAGTCCAACATGATCTCATGATAATTCGTATGTATTTGACGTAAAATGAGGTTCTATAAAACGTACAATACTGATGTATTTTCAGCATTTAAACGTACAAAACTGACGTATTGACGACACCTAAAAATGAATCCTTATGAATATTGAAATCGCGTTATTAATTTTATTAACGTTAGTTGTTTTTAGTTGTCATATCAGTTACCTTGTTTTCAATTGCATTATTAAATTGTTTACTCATTTACTTAATATGAAATGATAACATTTCATTTTGTTGTGTGATTTCTGCTGCCAACTCGGTTCCAAGAATAGGCCTACATAATGTTAAACAAGACTTCACTTTAAACCTTAAAATAAATAACATTTCTGCAATCGTTTAACCTTTACTTGTCATGTAATGTTTACTTTGTTTGCCATGGGCCACAAAAGGCGTTTACTCCGACATGCTGTGACTGACAATAGAACTATAAATACACCAAAAACGCAACATAATTACGAAATGAAACAATTTTCTTCGTGCGCTGAAATCCAAATCTTCCGAATCCACACGACTGCGAGGAACAGACCCAAATCCAAGCCTTTATTCGGGCGATCTTCATCTCCATCCCGAGCAGCGAGTCCATCGAAGTTCCATGGACACATGGTGCACAGAGGTGAATCTCAGCAGAGCAAAGCTGCAGCGGCCCTCAGCAAAGTGCAAGTCTGTTCTCTCAGCTGATGAGCTCCACAGTGTCTGTGATGCTAATCAGGGAGCAGCCGGACCCTGCTCTGCAGGCGCACAGTCACACAAGCAGATGGCCAATTGTAGAGAGAGAGAGAGGGAGGAAAGGAAGGAAGAAAGA